TGGTCCATGACATCTCAGTTCTCCTGCTCTCTCTCCTGTTACTCCTGATGTCTGACCCTTACTCTTTTGTAACCATATTGCATATGACAGACTTTAACAATCCCCCATGGAAGGCCTTACCCTCCCTGGGGAGTGGAGGGTTGGGAGGGTTGGTGGAGCAGGGGGAGGAGGGGAGGTAGAGGCAGCTGGGAGTAATGTGTAAAAACTTAAATAACATTTTATAAAAAATAAAAAAATAAAGGTATACATCACCACTGCCCAGCCCCTATGGTTAACTAGTGTGATTGCTAGGATTAAAGGTGTGTGCCACCACTGCCTGGATACGGCTGTGGCTAGCTTTGCATTCTGATCTTTAGGGAAGCTTTATTAGATCATAAACAATATATCACCACAAGAGACTAAGGAAATTTTGTTGTTGTTTTGTTCATTTTAAATTCATATCCAGCTTTGTGTCTACTTACTATATATTGGTCATTTGCTTTACTAATAACATTTTTCAGGAAGAGAATCTACAAATTTGCCTAAGTAATAGCCTTACAAAAATCACACAAAAAAACTATAGGCTGTAACTTCTTTTAAAATGATCCTCTTTGCCTTCCTGAGAAGAGGGAAGATTGTTATTCATCTGGCGCAAGAAACACAATCATTTGTAGGTTCCAACTAGGAAAAGCCTAGTGGCCTCTATATTAAGATGAAACACAAACTGCATCAAGGCATTCCAAACCACTCAACATTGGGTCAAACATTTTAGACTTAGTTAGGAACAAGTGCAAGCTATTTATAATCTGTACATGAACTCTAACCCTCATCTCATTAAAATTGCATCTAATGATGTGAACACCTTTATCACTTTGAAGACTTAACTCCCTGAGTGGGATCCTGTATGCCTGAAGAATTTAGTTTAAAAGAATACTAACTTCAATCACAGACTCACCCAGTCCCCACAGATGCAAAGGTTGCTTTATTTTGTTTTTCTTTTCTTTGTCCTTTTTTTACCATTTTATTTTTAGTTCATTTACTAGAAAGAAGGTATTTTGTTTAAGAAAATAAAGATTAAATACAGATAGCACTTAAAATTCAATATATTCTTTAGAGTTTTGTTTCTGTACAATTTTATAATACACGTCTAAATTGAATTATGGATTTATAGAACCATATGCTTAAGAGGTAATTGAAAACATATTAACCCATTAAAATGCCATTATCACAATTTCCATTTGAGATATTAATTTTGGATGTATGGGTAACTATATCTCTGTATTTGCCAATCTCATGTTAAACATCAAGAAAGCATGGATGTGTTATTATAAGTGCTTCCTTTGAGAACTACAAAAGTTAGTATCTTCAAATAGTAATTATACATGTTATTTTTATTGTTTTATTAATAAGAATTAATATTTTCTATGACATAGTGCAAAGTTGAAAAACTTTACTATTTTTGTTCTGACAAAATTATTAATTTCATTTGATATATTTTACCATTTTCAATGTTGCTAAGGATATGCATACATAAGATTATACAAGGTATTCCAAAATTCAAATAATTAAATCCTAATAGCAAGTAGCTAAGGAGGGTGTATGCAGCAAAGAGAGACTTATTAACATTTGATTTTCTTTTGGTAGAGATATTAATAAAAATTTCCTATATAATTGGATGAAGGAAATACCGTTGTCCAATAATTTCATATACTTAGTTTTTTCAGTTTTTTTCATGTAAAGATGTTGTCTCAGAAATCTTATACATACAATTCTGATGAAATTGAATTCATTTCTTTGCTTTCTCTCTCAGAAGAGATAAGAAAAAAAAAGGACTAACTATTCTCTACTAACACACTGCAATAATTCACCCTGGCCATCAAAATGTATGTGGCAGCCAGCTTCCCTCCACCAGCCATAAGTCCTTCCAGGGACATCAACAAAGAAACCTGTAGTTCACATCAGTTCTGACTCCATGCAGCCAGAGATAGTGTCAAATCCCACAGTAAGAAAGTTCAATCCCAGAAAACTGCTACTGTGTCTTAGGCCAATTACACATAGCAGACTGTAAACCATACTTTTGATCAACACACTATGAAGCAGAATTGCCATGACTTCCTCCCTGGGTTCAATTAATTTGCTAGAATGCCTCGGAGAAACACTCTACTCCTCTCTTTGTTACAAAGGTTATTGCAAAGAGTACAGATGAACAACTAAATGAAGAGATTCTCAGGGGAAGGCATAGAAGGAAAGGACAAACTGAAACGCCTGGATCTGGGGAAAGAGTTCCCTGTTCATTTATTTATTTATTAGTTGTTAGTCCTACAGTTTCATACATGTATATAATGTATTCTACAATACTATTGTCCACTCTTATCCCTTTCTTATCTACCTCCCATTTCTATTAACTGTGCTTCATCCCTTCCAACTCTTTTTCCAGATTCATAATTTTCATTCTGTTTTGTGACCCATTTAATTTTGATCAGGGTTATGTGCATGAGACTAGATTACAACTATCCATTGCATCCTGGTAGCATCATTAATTGGAACACAATGAAAGGCAATGGCTACTTTTCCCATGAATCTACCAGTAGCAAATAGCAGTGGGGGCTAAGGAAGAGCAGACCATCATTTCCATTGCTCCCTGCCTGTTAGTAGATCCATTCCTGTGTGGACCCTGTGCAGGTGTCCGCAGCTGTTGTGTGCCTGTGATTGCAATGGCTGTGTCTTGCCCAGAAGATACCATTTTGTAGGCCTCTCCCATTTTCTGCCTCTTACATTCTTTCTGCCCATTCTTTACTAATGTTACCTGACTTTTTTGGGGGGTGGGAGACTGAGCATAGATCCATCACTTACTCTGGGAATCTTGTGAACTCTGTGCATCCACTGTCACTCATGGGAATGAAACCTTTCTGATTGAGGATGAGAGTAACATTTCTCTAGAGGACTGGTTCTCAACTTGTTGGTCACGACCCCCTGGGTATTATAAATCAGATATCCTGCTTATCATATATTTACAATATAATTTATAACAATTGCAAAATTACAGTTATTAAGGAAGTAGCAATAAAATAATTGTATGGTTGGGCTACACCACAAGAGGAGGAACTTGTACTAAAGGGTTCCAGCATTAGGAATGTAGAGAACCACTGTTCTAGATCCTAGGATATCCACCTGGCACGTATGGTTATGAACATATTTACATTCTAAGGCATGGGTTCCTGCCTATAAAACAGACCTCAAAATTCATCCAAGAGTAATTTTTACTCTTATAACAGTTGTGTCACAACTCCAAACATGGGCACATTTTACCTGGCAGGTTTGTCTCATAGTTTATAGTATTATCAGTTGGGTGAGACTGCAGATAACTTTTCTGCCCCAGTAGCCTACATATGCCTTCTGAGGTTTTGAAGATTAGATGCCAGGAAGGAAGCTTCTAGGTAATTTCTGGATTGTTATCACTATAGCATAAAAACAAGGTGTGTGGGCAGCTTCAGCAAATGGTCTTAGCATCTGGTTCTGGAGGCCAACCAAGTAGATGAACAATGCCAATGCCCTCCATTGTTTTGTAGAGGTCTCTTGAGGTTATCAGATAAACTATTCTAAAGGGGGTATCCTGCTCATAGCAATATGGTTTTAGATTGCTATCTTGTGGCTTTTATGAGCAGTTTTTTCACCCATGAATTTTCCAAAAAACACCTGGTCTTTTTAATTTTCATGAAAACTACATTACATAGTCCTGTCAACATCACTGGACATTGGTGACAAACTCAACCTTCATCATCTGTATCATCATAGAAGTTCAGAAGTGAGATTGAAGGTCTTAGCTCTGCAACTGAGTACCCCTTTCTGATACTTTCCAGGAGCTCATGGAGGGTATCTCTTTATATTATCTCATATCTATAGCTATACCTTATTAGAACCAAACACGTCTATGTTACCAAAATAGTCATAATAGATTTAGAAACTGGTGTTATCAGAAACTGGTGTCAAAGTCAAAACACTTTATCAGTTCTTCTAAGTAAAAAGTCTTCAAGAATGCTAAGTCTGAAACTTGGGAAGAAAGTAATACATGTTTCATATTATATTAATTCTGATAAAACTGAAAAGTATCTATAATTTCATGTAAAGTCGATATCATAGTCTTAGGGTTCAGTAATGAAGAGATGTCATATGGTGTCTGACTATTTTGTAAAGATTAAAATATTATATATGTGTGTTCATATGTGTTTGTGTGTGTGTATGTGTTTGTGTGTGTGTGTGTTTCCCACAAGAGTGAGTAGAGGGACAACTTTCAGAACGACCCTCTTTCTGACATACTTTTCAGGCATGAAACTTGGATTGTCAGCATTGTTTGGCACATGCTGTAACATCTCTCTGCCTCTTACTCCAGTTTCCTAAAGAAATACTTCTAGACAAATTCTTTCTTTTTGTTTTGTTTGTTTTTGAGAAAGGGTTTGTCTGTGTACCATTGTGGACCGGGCCAGTCTTGAACTCATAGAGATCCACCTGTCTCTGCCTCACAAGTGCTGGGATTAAAGGTGTGCACCACCATCACCCAGTTTAGACAAGTTCTTTAAAAGAGTATCAAAAGGGGCAGAGTTAGGGGTAGAGGTGAGGGGTAGAGACAAGCACCAGACATGGTGTGAGCCAATGTTATAAAATAAAAGGTAAAGCCAAGGAATAGTTGTCTCAAAAGTTCAAAGAAATTAGTTCATTATGAGATGGTATTCATTGACAGCAGCGTCTGGACTCAGAACCAACCTAAGCAGGACTCCAGAAGTGAAAACTACAGCAACTCAATAAATTTGTTCCTTAATACATATATGATAATTAAGTAGAACAAAATTAAATTAGACTTATCATGCCTCTATGTCTTCTGAATTAATGCATAAGGTTCTTTGGTACCTTATAAAAGCTAGCACATAGGCATAAAAAGGTGTCTGTATAGATGGTTTGATCTCATTCACGGAACACTCAATATTTGTTGTTTTGTCTTTCTACATTCATGCTATGTCTAATAGGCCAGAACCTGTTTTGTGGACAAAGGATGGTGCAGAATTACCAGATCCTGATCGAATGGTCGTGAGTGGTAGGGAACTCAACATTCTTTTCCTGAATAAAACGGACAACGGCACGTATAGATGCGAAGCCACGAACACCATCGGCCAAAGCAGCGCAGAGTATGTCCTCATTGTACATGGTGAGTTCTTTTGGGAAATGTTACATGTGAAAGGAAGAACACCATGGAGAACTGTTAAAGTCTGTCAAAACTGTTACAAAATAAGTTAGATAGGTCTTCTTTTTCTTTCAGAAGGACTTCTCATGAGTATAACTATCTCCAAGGTAGACATTTAATGTTTCAGATTTGACTAATATGAAAAATTAAAGCATATATGAAAAATAAAATTATTTTGTGAAAAACCTTATTAAAAGTAATTTAATTTGCTATTTAGAAATGACTTATAAATTAGGTTAGTGGTTATCTTTAAATTTACCATAAATTATTTCTAGTTATAATCCAGAGCACTGGAAGACATTTCTCTCAAGCTAACTTCATTGTGTTATCATTAAAATATGCTTTCTAAACACTGAACTGCGCCACACAAAAGATAATAATATGCCATTGGAGTATAATAAAGGCAAAAGTTCACAATTATAATGTTTAATTTCTTATGAATGATAATTTGAAATTAATTTCTCTTGTCTGCATTAAATTCAAAATTGGTTAGAATGCAAAAAGAACTAAAATGGATGCGAGTAAAGAAAATGACTGTTTTAATCAAGTTCCAAACACCATGGTCTCTTTATAAGGTAGCTTTAATGTATGACTAGAAAGAAACACCTTCCTATAACATGTATAAATATTTTAATAAATACAGTTAGCTTCCTTTATATAACTGCTTCTGGCAGTTTCCCATGTATACCAGAATGCACTGTGAATCTCCAAGAGAAATAATTACCAGCAGGTGTGATTTTTTTCCTCATATATTTCACCAGGACAATTTTTTATGAGCATACCACTTTATCCTACATAATATTACAAAATAATGAGCTACTATTGCATAAAACAAATAACAATAATAAATTCAGTGGACTTTGAGAATAATGGGAAGAATGTGTTTATTGTATTGGATCTGAATCAAAGTACAAAATACTGCTATCAATGTGCATTAGTCAAAGAGCTTTCAATCAAAATATATTTGAAGGATTAAGTCTATTTTTCAGACAGATTTAATATTCTGGGAAATATAAAAACCTTATTTTGCTACATTCTCAATTTTTATTTAGTATTATGCAATAAGAATGAAGAAAATAATATAGTAACATATAGTTCTATCTTCAAAGTTGTTGTGATCTAAAATCTCTCTTCTTGATATTACCTTGTATAGTAAACAATGATGAAATATACTGTATATATTTTCACAAATAACACACCAGGAATTAAAAAGATCTATGTTCTAATATTCTGTGAAAAGTTTAAAAAAATCTACTTTGGGCAAGATCACTCACATCACTGGGATAATTAGACTAGGATGTAATATGGTAACCTCATATGGGTGAACATGCCACCTTCACTACACAGTATATAAACTACCACTTTAATCACAAAAATCTCCTCAGAACTTAAGAGCAGGATCCAAGTGTACATATCTGTGTACAACCTGCTCTCACCTTAAGTCTCATATATATGATTTACTTTAAATTTTCTAAGTGATACTCTCCAGCAAGTGGGAAACCTTCCTTCATGTTATATAGCATGACACATTGTGTTCACAGCAATGTACCTTAAGACTATGAAGAATGCAAAGGGAAGTGACTGAGAAGTAATATACCCAGATATGTCACCTTTTTCTATTAATGAATTCAAGGAGAGGAAAATACATGCTATCTCGATGTTTAAAAACTGGCAACAATATGATTTTGGCAATTGCAGTGCTATCTTTGGGTTAGTGGCAGTTGACATATTTCTAATAAATACATTTTTAAGCACTTTTTAAGAAGTCATTCTTGGCTTTGCATTTGAACTCCAATTCATCAAAAGCACCCCATAGATTAATGCTTTTCACGCTGCTAGATAAATGCTGTGAAGTTCAACAGTAGTTTACCTAGTATTATTGACACAAGTAATGAGAGGCTCTTTGAAACATTGCAACTATATTATACTGTGTTTAAAGGGGGCTCCAATTGGGTTCATTACACAATAAAGGGTCCATTTTCCCATTTGCACACTAGGTATAATGTTTCCCTAGTCACTGGTTATATAAATGTAAAAGCTACACTCTTCTGTTAATGGTTCAGCTGTTTCCAAATCCTACTAAATGATAAAATTTGAGTGGCATTTTGATCTACAATTCATGCCACATGTGATAATTTGTGATAACTTTACCCTTTTATATTTTACACCAAGTTTGATTTTTTTACATCAGCTGTGATGATTTCACATAGCTCTAGTACAGAAGGTTTTTTAAGACTCGGGACTGATGTCTGAATCTACCACTGTTTCCCAACATGATGGAGGCTGAAACGCTTGCCTGTATAATCACCAACAACACAGATGCCAGGCACTAGTTAGATTTAATCCTATGGTGCCAATGGTAGTGCATGTTGAAATTTTATGGCATTTACTTGTTATAAGCTCTGGTGTGCTGGGTTATGCACAATGCAGGTTTTCTTCTACTCCCCTCCCACATTTTTACTGAAATTTTCAGCTTTAAAACTACACATAATATCTTAAACTGCTGTTTAAAACTTAACCTTCAATGAAAGCTTTACTGAAAGTCAATGTCAAGGAACTGTAAGAGAAAGCGTTTCACATATGAAGCTGTGTATTGTTAAGGATACCATGAGGGAGACACTAGCACTTTTCATTAATAAGCACAGTAATGAAAAAGTAAGTCTGTTAAGATAATGGCTAGAATTAATTATTCTATTCAATTTCTGTGAGTGTCAATGTTCCTTAAATTTTTACTTCGTCATAAAAGAAGTAAATAGATTCTCTGTTACCATTCTCATGCTATTTTTTAGAAGCCAGTATATATAAATTTAACAGATTGTAGTATTGTATTCAATTCATCTCTTTGTAGTTCAACAAATAGGACCAAAATAGCAATTCATTTATTCATCAATAATTTTGTATATGTCTTCTGAGTATAATATGAAACTGAAATAAATTGAATTCAATACAATGATAGTATAATAGGGACAAGTAGAAATTACATCAAATCTTAATACAAAATCGTTAGGATAAGCACAACCTACGAGGGTGAAAAGCAGGTATCAACACTAAAAAATGCAACACTGGGCTTCCAAATTAAATAATACTAAATAAATGATGTACATCAAACCCAGAAATATTTAGTACTCTATCAGTTACACAGATATGCCCTGAGTTGAACTATATTAGCCTGAATAGGTGAGAGCAGATTCAATGGCAATGTGCACTGGACAATCACATGGTAATGTTTTTCTTCAAATCCTTCCAAAAATTCAGTATACAGAATAACAACTCAGCAACCATTCTTAAATAATAAGACAATTTTTAAATTTTTTGCTAAAAGATAGTCTTAGGAAGTTTTTTTCAACATCCCACAGTGTAAAAGCTCATGACATACTGAGCAGGATAAGTTCAATGGACAGCCTTCTGTCTCTAAGAAAACATCCATTTTTAAAGAAGCTACATAAATTATTCTTCCCAAGCAGGGAATACCTAGATCAACATCCAAATACTGAAGGCATCAAGGCAGATAGCTATGGCTGCAAGAGTATCGCTGATGAGCTTAGTCCAATTGGTTTTATGGTTGAAAGCAATCAAAATATTTCATATTTACTTTTCATCACCTGATTGATTGGGGGAAAGATGAAGAGTGAGATGGCTCAGCAAATAAAAGAACTTGTTGCCGAGCCTGAATATTTCAGTTTGCTATTGGGATTTACAAGGTAGGAGAAAACCTATTCCCAATAGTTCCCCTCTTATCTCTAACCCTTGGGCCTAGCCCTTGCCTGTCTCTTAAAATGACAAAACAACAGAAATTTGGAAATCTATATTCTTGAAAACCTCACAACTATATGAAATATGGAGGTCTTGAGAAATATATGAACAGTGATAAGTCCAAATGTTCCTAAAATTAATTTAGTTCCCTCTTAAATTTATAAGTGTATTTTTATCAACACATTTAAAAGTTATAACTTATGCACCAAATGTACAAACACACACTTATGGTACTTGAGAGTACACAAATTAGACACAACATACACACCTGTAGAGTGTGTGTGTACTTGTGTGTGTGTGAGAGAGAGAGAGAGAGAGAAAGGGAAGAAAAATTGAACTTACTAAACAATGAAATAGGAATGTTTTCTTTCAACTCTTTAAAATGTGGTATACAAAATATTAGCTCAGTAGACATTCCTAAAGAACAAAAAAATTCTAGCATCATAAACCTTCCTGAGATTTGTGAGGAAATCTTGCAAGATAGAAAAAAATGACCAGCTGTTTCTCCTGCTAATACCTGCAGAGTTTGGGCAGGAACACATTGTAAGCCAACATTGTGGGCATTGATACCAAAACTTGGAAGAAAGCAGGACTCATGGTAATGGCCACACATATTAAAGAAAGTTCCCATTGCTTATCAAAAAATACGCTTTGTATCACAGCAACACTTATGTACAAGTTAAAATTATGTTACCATTATCTAACTTATTCTACCATGTCCTTATTTTGTTCTATAAATGAGATTTTAAAAATTTAATCACTTCACTATCTTAACCTATGTTTTACTTTTATATACATATTAAAGATATCTATATCTTCATATACACAAAAGATATATATATATATTCTTTCCTACAATACTTAATCTTTACAACCATACATAATATGAAAAGTTCTCTACAACTATTATTTGATAACATGGATTAAAATAGAATTGCAATTTGCTTCTATTTTTTATTCTCCCAATCAAGTATCACAGTTGTTGATTTAATAGCTCTAAAATATCACTGTGCATTTTTAGTTTATTTGTTATTTCAGGTGTTTGTTTAAATAGCTACTGATAAAAATGGCAGTGCCATTGTTTGTTATCAAGATAATTACTTTAGTAATAATACATTTAAATAACACACATGCATATAGTATATGATGTGTCAAATTTTATTGTTAGTAAGAGCTATTATAAAAATATTTTAATATTTTACAAAATTAAC